GGGGGAGGAGGGGGAGGAGGGGGAGAAAGGCCCTCTCACAACCACCACATATCCTAAGCTGCCTTGATCTCAATTCACACAATAAATAGAGGGAAATTGATTTTTCGAGATTCGTCAGTTATTTTCATTTTCGCTCGGTGTTCTTGGACAATTCCTCATTAAGACCCCATTATGACCGCCTAACCGTTATCCGTTCAGTTTCTGAAAAAAGAAGTCCACAATCCTTATGCTACACAGGTAAACAAGAAAAGCCGGGAATGTGCAACAATGATGACTTCTGTATTTTAATATCAGTTAGGAATTTCTTGAATAGTACATGTACATGACCTACCCAACTTTCTAATTATAATTTGAAGGGTCAGAGTGATGTTCACGTCTAACTACTAAAACCAAAAACTGACGTATGACTGTGAATGAGAGATCAGAAATATTATGGGGTTTATAGGACATGTGAGTGAAATCAAACATAATGTTTGCCATTTGCCGTTACTGAAATCGTCAGTCTACCCGCTAATAACTTAACCGACGGCTCCGTATACCAATCAGACGTTAAGAAAAAAGAACACAAAGGAAAAATACTAAAACAGAGATATTACTTTTCCCATTTGTTACGATTAGTAGTAGAGAAGAGCAAATTTCTCATAAAACGATATGCTGAGTATACAAGCCTATCGTACTCGGTAATAGCTGCTTCCTTACTTTATCTCACCTCTAACAGTAAATGTCAAATTCTTGCTTTCCTCGATCCCAGGGAAAGAGGTATTGACTTTGCATCTGTATGTAAAATTTCCACTTTTGTCAAGTCTTCTCATCCAGATTCCTGTATTGTTTGGACCTTGAATGACTACATCATTCTCGTACAGTAAGTACGTATGTACTGGTGGGTTAGCATCAGCTGTGCATGTGAGATTTAGAAAAACTCCTGCACAGACCTCTTCGCTTGATGTATTTGAAATTAACATCACATTCTCAGGTTTGTCTGTGAAAAGGCAACAAAGAGACCATGATCATCTAGAGTAATGTGGTCTAACTATATAATCTTAAAGAATTTATATGTGTAATTAATAGCAGAATATCCACCGAAGATGGCTCTTTGTGCGTAAAAACACCGGTTTTCTAATAGTGACAACATCAAAACAAATAGCTACATACAATTTTAAAACAGAACATCCTCAAAAGTTACATCCCCTCGGCTAACAATTAACCAATGTGGGAAAAAGATGAAAACTAAGGTAAATGTCAGTTAACAAAGTTGATAACACTAGAAGGTTTTTTCAGCCATTAGACCTAAGAATTCACGAGGACGAGTAAGAGTAGAGTAAGCATTTATGAAAAATCAACTTGAATTTGAATGATATTTCCAAGAGTTTCTGATGTGCATGCCATTAAAAGCAAGAGAAATAATAATAACAGTCTAAGGTAAGAATTTTGACATAGCAATAGTACCCAAATCCTTTTTCCAAATATTTAATCTATGCTGATTGGGAAAGATTATGTAACAAATTCCAACTTCACTTTTTCCCCATTTTTTTCTAAGGTGACTAAGAATTCAATTAGCTTTACTTTAGGAGATTAAAAAATATGTGGAAACTGCAATTTGTGAAAACTCCTGCTTTGACGCCTTGGTAGCTGAGTAAATGTTTAGCCCTTCGCAGTCTAAGGAGAGATGTTTTCAGGTTTGTTGTTTTGTTTTATTCTTCTGTTATTTTTTGCAGTTTAAGGGAACAGCCATGGCTAAAAGTCCTGCAGTAATCTGTATTGTCTACAGCTCCTAAATTATAGCCCTGGTAAAATAATACATAATACCATGCCAAACTATTATAAGAGCTTACATTGCACGTCCACGTAAACCGCTGTTGATGCATTTCCACATGTGTTGTTTGCAGTACATCTGTAGTCTCCCGCCTCATTTCTTCTGATGTTTTCTATCATCAGTGAACTGTTATCACTGACAACATTTTCACCCTTAGTCCATTTTACAGTTGGATTAGGACTTCCAGTGGCATTACAATACATTTCAACAGTGTCACCTTCTGTTATGGGTTCAATTTTCATCTGCTTGACAGATGGTGGGACTGGATTAAAAAATAAAATGGCGCAGCAAATTAAAACTAAAAAAATGATCTGTAGTGTTTTGTTAAGAAAAAACATTATCGCAGAATTGAGTGCCATTCTATATGTTTAAGAATAAGATATACATGTATGTTACCTTTTCAATATGACGTCATATGAACTAAAGCAGGTTAATTTTTGGAGCGTTTTACGAGCTGTCAATTAATCATATATTTAAAATAATGTTTTCATTTTTTGGCCACATTTATAAATGGATGTAAGACTACTCTTCTAACATGAGGTCATATGAAAGTAAATTCTACATCACTGGTGTTTAATTACTTTACGATTATAGTCTGATTTTCACTATTGCTTAAATAGTGCTCAGTTACTGCGACGATCGTGCACAAATACGTTTATAGTCACTGTGATAGCGTGCATACTGACCCAGTAAATGAGACTTTTATACAACTGATCAGATAACTAATAAAAAAGACTTGTCACTTTTCCAATCGAAAAACACTAGTGTCGTTATAGCTAAAAAAAGTGTTAGGACCACGTAAAGGAGATTTTCATACAACTGATCAGATAATCAACCAATAAAGATGTGTCACTTTTCCTATCAAGAAACACTGGTGTCGTTTTAGCTAAAACAAATGTTATTGAAATAAACCTTAATTGAGTGACATTCTTTGCCAGCTTTGCCAGTGCAGCAGGCCAGTTCACTAACCCAGAGTTTTGTGCCTAATTACAATGAATAGCATGTAAGCTTACCTTTCACAAAAAATACTGTATCATTGCTCTCTCTGGTTTCTTGGATAGAGTTGTTGGCTGTGCATCTGAACACAATCTTTCCACCTGTTTCTAGCTTCGGTATCCAGATTCCTGTATTTCCCAAATTACTATCGACTTTGGTGTCATTCTCATACAATAAGTAAGTATGTACTGGAGGGTTGGCATCAGCTGTACACGTGAACTTTACGTAAATTCCAGCACAGACTTCTTTTCTTGTTGTATTTGAACTTAATTTGACATTCTCAGGTTCATCTACAAAAGGAAAGCAAACCAAAGGAATCAACACTTATACCAAAAATATTATGTTTAAATGCTATTCAAATTTTCTAACTATTTGTCCGGCGCAAATATAAAGCTGTCCTGAAAAATTACTTAAATACGCTAGACAATCCAATTCAGAATTGTGATGCAGTACTGACTTTTAGAACACATCATGCACACAACCATTTTTCCCTGCATGATAACCATCATTCCAGTTATTGGGGTGCGTTTTTTTTTTCTTTTTTGAGTTGAAAGAAACATTTTTGTGATCACCCTACTAATCAACCGTTCTCAAGTGCATTAATTGCTGTGATCACTCTTCAAACATGCATGTACTTTATAGAAATTTAGGCTAAATTTGTGAGGAGATAGATCATGCATACATTCAAGGCTGAAAGGTATGGAAAGGTTGTAATAGAATACATTTCACAGATTTTTTTTCTGTGCAGAATGATTGAAAAAAAAAAAAAAACGTAAATACTGAAACAACTAAACAATTAAGAACCGGTGATGCACGCAGTAAAGCATTCCCAAGCTTAATATTCAATGTATTCCACAGTTTTATAATAACCATCAATTGTGGAATCTTGCCAGATAGAATTGTCTTTGTCTGTACTACAAAGAAGTGCACACTACTTCGTATCATTGTCTGTTGTGGGATTTTCGTTGAAAACAATCAAGACAATTAGACCTGTGTTCCAATTTTTCGGTAACGTAGATGGTAGAAACATTAAAACACCTATAGTCATACGATCATAAATAGTTTCTCACATTGCACATCAATGTACACCATTGTTGATGCATTTCCACATGTGTTGTTTGCAGTACATCTGTACTCTCCAGCTTTGTCTCTGCTGATTTGCGTGAAGTTCAAAAGATTACCATCAGCTATATGGCTGCCATTCTTTTCCCACATGACAGTTGGGTAGGGAAAACCAGTTATGTTTAGACAGCTCTCTTGTACATAGTGACCTTCACTCACAGTTTCCTTTTTGGCTTTTCTTAAAGATGTTGGCACTTTAAAGAAGATTGTGCCAAGATAAGTATTGGATGATGGCATTATGCAAAACGCAAGTGGCTATCAACAAATATACAAGATAAGTACAACTTGATGATAGTGACAAGTCAACTTATTCATTATCATCCTATGATAATGACTTTTAAAAATAAAGATGATACAGCAAGAACAACTTGAACTACACTTGTGAGGTTAGAACACATAAAACCTACCTTGCTGGACAGAAGTAACGTAATTAACTCACTACACTGTGTTTCAATCCATAAAAACAATTTTTTGCTTGGATACACTTATACACATTTACACTTATATTCCTTCCCAAGCTTTGAAGGGCTTTCAACATTTGCTACTTTACATTGTATACTAAATTGAAATTTTAAAAAAATAATTTTTTTTAAGTTTTGAAATGAAGCTATCAGTTGATTTGACCTTACCGTTGACTGTTAAAGTAATATTTTCACTTGATACATTTTCAACACTCTGATTTGCAATGCAACTGTAGATAGCTTTCCCCCCTTCTGATATCTTCTCTATCCAAGTTCCACTTTTGCTGGAAGTAAATTCTGTTCCATTCTTGAGAAGCAAGTAGTTATAAACAGGTGGATTGGCTTTTGATGAAGTGCAATTAAAATTGACCCACAGATCAAAGCAGTCTTTGTTTTCTGTTGCATTTTTTTCCAAAATGACATAAGCTGGCTTATCTGCCCAAAAAGGAAACATAGGAACATCAACAATTAAGTCAGTCCATTATCTTACTGAAGATAAGAGCAATGGTTTAGAAGGGCAAACTTTGAGCTGGCACAAATAGACATTAATGTTTTAATCTACAATTAGGTAATATTATCAACTTTTTCCTTCCCCATTAAATTTTTATTTGATATGGCAATCAACCATTTTCAAACACTTACAGTGTGCATAGAGTAAGTGAAGAACACTTGTACATTAGAAGGAATAAAAGCAAAATTTTCTCAGGGTATCTCCTATTCCCTACTGCCATCGGTTAAGAGACACCCCAGGAACAAGATTGGAACATCAGGCTCTATACAAGGATGTCACTGAGCACTGAAGCCACAATCTGATAAGTTTCATGTGAATCAAGGTTAGCTAGAATAGTCTAGTAAGCAATAGGAGTATTAGTCAAAGTTAAACAGATATACACAATATTATATTAGTACTGTAGGTGGAAGCAGTATGTCAATAGCCATGTATCCCTTCTGTATTAATTACTCTAACATGATAATCATGAAAATAAATATTCTGGTGCAAGTGAAACTGTATTAGCAGATGAAGAGTATCATATATGCATATAAGTAAATAAATAATGTTGGCTCAAGATAATAACATTTTCCCTCAAATTTAGCTGATGCAAAACAACTTGAAAAAAAGCATTTTTCTCTTTAAAGTTCAAACTCTGGAAAACTACTTTAAAAGTGCAATAGCATGAAGAATAAAGATCAAAATTGCACAGTACCTCAAAGAGAGAAAGATCCCAAGCCAAAGAAAAATAGTTCTTCACTCAGCTGTGTGGACTATCCAAATATTTTGGTATGATCATGGCAAATCAATTGCTCTCCAAAAATGGGAGACCTTTTGTAACACTCCCTTGCAGCAAAACTCAGAGTAAAAGAATCCTCTGTTCATAGTTACATGGAGTATGTGGCCTTTGACTTTATGTAAATTTAATTAATGTTCAAAAGCACCAATCATCTTTTGTCTTGCAAATTTGTTAGCGCCATATCAATTCCTTACCAGCTTGCAATCACAAAATACTTTCTTACTGAAGCTTAACATCTACATCTACATTTATTAGTCTTGCAAAGGGGGGCTATCACGCAAGACATAAAATAACAATTATAATAATTAACAAAATGAGATAAAAAATGTAAAGATAAATAATATATATATACATATGTTAAAGGTTAAATTCCTGTAATTTTTAAAATTAATTAATTTATCAATTCCTAAAACATTATTTGGTAAGGAGTTCCAGTCTTTGATTGTTCTACAATAAAATTAATTCTTATACGTTTCAGTGTTTGGTTTTATTTCTATGAATTTATCCTTATGATATAATCTTAATTGACGGTTTTTCCTCTTGATACAATTTGGGAGTTCCATCTGGACTTCGCCATGGAGAATCTTGTAGAACATGGTTAAACATGCAGATTTCTTCTTTTCGGTAATGGAGGCCAGTCCAAATCATTTAGAAGATTTGATACAGTCCCTGGTTTACCCTCTCAACAATTTTTTAACAAAACGTGCAGATCTTCTTTGAACAGCTTCAATTTGATTTACGTGCTTGTCCAGGGGTACCAGACTGTGCTTGCATACTCGAGATGCGGTCGAACTAAGGAACAATATGACAGTTCTTTGATAGATTCAGGATATTTTCCAAGATTCCTTTTTAAGAAACCCAAAGTTCTGTTTGCCTTATTAGTCTTCATATCAATATGATGACTCCAGTCTAGTGAACTTGACAATTCCACCCCAAGGTATGGATAGTGTGACACAGACTTCAAAGTATGACCCATTAACTTGTAATCGAAAATTATTGGATGAGATTTCCTGGTAACTCTCATAACAAAACATTCACTGGGGTTAAATTGCATGAGCCATTTTTTTGCCCATTGTTCAATTGTAGAAAGATCAAGTTGGAGTTGACCAGCGTCCAGAGTTGACTCAATGATACTATAGAGGATGGTATCATCAGMAAATAATCGTATAGCAGAATTGCAGTTATCCCCAATATCATTTATATAGAGAAGTAACATTAGGGGACCTAGGACTGTCCCCTGGGGAACACCAGATGACTCATGGACTGCAGGAGAAGATATTCCATCTACTACAACAGATTGTTCTCTACATGTTAGCCAAGTAGTAATCCAGCTTTTGAGATTACCCCTTGTTCCATAATACTCAAGTTTACTAATTAATCTCTGATGTGGGACAGTATCAAATGCCTTGGAGAAATCCATAATGATTAGATCTGATTGATTTCCATTGTCAAGAGCTCTTCCAATTTCCTCTATTGTTGTGACTAGCAGGGTTTCACAGGAGAGTTTCCTACAAAAGCCATGTTGAGATTTAATAAGGATGTTTATTGAGTCTAGATGGGCCATAATATCATGAAAGATTATATGCACTAGTATTTTACATGGCACAGCTGTCAATGAAATTGGTCGATAGTTGGCAGGTTGATGTTTATCACCTTTTTTGAAAACAGAAGTGATATTTGCTTTCAGCCAGTCAGTGGGCAGTTGACCAGTAGCTACAGATTGAGTGTAGAGAAATTGGAGAAAAGGTGCAAATTCAGCAGCCGCTTTTTTTAAAACCCGGCACGGAATAAGGTCAGGACCATAAGCTTTGTTAGGATTGATATTGGCCAGTAGTTTGATTATGCCTGATACACAGAAGATGGAATGTCTGGATAAGGGCTAGGGCCAAGTGATGGTACATTATCAATTTGTTCCTGTAAAGACAGACTTAAATTGATTACTTAGTAGGTTAGCCTTCCCAAGACTGTTTTTACTGTTGTTGCCCAAAAATTTTTGCTCAACCAGTTATGTATGAGGACAAAACACATACTACGTGAGCTGTAATAGACTTCTGTAGGACCTTAAGTGAGATAGCACACATTAAAATATAATTTACTGCTGTTTCCCCATTTAAGCAACCACTGTTATCCATACTGATACATTTCAGTCTTTTAGAGACCTACAATCTGAGAAATATTCTGGTATACAGTAAAAAGACAATTATAATTTACTCCAAAATTTTTCTTGCAGCTGAGGGACAGAGCCCCAAGTTGCACTTATTTTGGTTGGTATGGCAAACATAAAAAAAAAAGTTTATTGCTTAGTGTTTAACGCCTGACAAGAAGTGAGCTATTGCTTTGCATAAAATATCAATTCTGCCACTGAAGCTGCATCATTAGTTGGGAAGTTAAGAGAACCTTCAGACTGATTGCTAACCACATTGCTTATTGCAAAGAAAAGGGGACTTAGCGACTATCTTGCGATTTTTTGGGTGCAAAGTGATGACTTTTAAAAAGGCTGAGGCGAGAGCCATGAGGTACACACAATACTATCTGTCTCTAAGATTAAAAGCAAAGCAAAACACATTGACACCTGAACTGCCCGAACCTCGCGATCGCCTTGCGCGAGAACGCTTTCCCCCTACCTCCCCTACTAAGTGGAGTTTTGTCCCCAAACTTCCTCTATCAATAAGAGATCAATAAGCCAATCAGAATCCGTTGTTTGCGCATATATTTTGTCGACCTTAGGGGGTACTAGAGGGGCATTATTCTATGCGTCTTCACTAAATGATCAAATTTGAAAATATGGCGTCCACGCGGCCGACCCTCAAAATTTTCAGGTCGGAATTTTCGTTCATTTGCAATCGAGTTAGACCTTGTGGAATTCAGAAACTAAAGTAACAATGGTTTAGAATACTCTGCTTGGAAAAGAATGGATATCCAGGTCCTAAAGGTGACAGAATAAGCTCTCGAGTCAGCGACACAACAATTCTCCAAGGTGATGCGAATTCTGGACATAAAGTGAAAACCGAACTTTCAGACTTCAAGCAGGGCCTGGCGACAATTTGACGATTTGATGGCCCAGTAAATATTATGTACGAGTAACAATGTGTTCAAAAAGTATAGTTTAATAGAAGATTTTGCCTCAAATCAAAGTTTTTTCAGAATTTTCAACATAACACTGCGCAGTTTCTGGCCATGAAGGCATGTAAACAACGATCTAAGCATGATGAATTTTACCGCATGGGCTTTGTACACGTAAGGAATTCGTACGTTTTTTGCTTGTAACAGCAAATCAAAAACTGTTTTGAATAAATCTGACGTCCTGAAATATTTCTTGGCCATTTTAGTCTTGCTTCCTATTGATAGATTCCATGGTACTTGAGATCTTGAGTCGTGTAATAATAATTATTATTACCATTCAATAATTATTAATTTTTGTATCATGGCTTTATGCTGTCACTGTTCCATAATTCCAACGTTGATTGGTTGTTAATTATTGTCAAGTATGGAATGTACATGTAGATCACCTTTTTGGTTTTAATGACTGTTGTATTTTAAAGCAATTAATTTTATGATTTATCTGGTCACATAAAGCAGTTTTGCTATGAAATAAAATGTTTGACTTGGAAGGTTTGGAGACACAAAAGGATTTTCAAGTCAATTACCATCTACAAACTTGATACTTCTTTCATATAAACTTTTATAATTAAAGAGCATCTTTACTTTGCCATTGTATTTGCTAAACTTGACCCTGTATGGCTGCCTGCAGCAAAAAAATTTTTTTTAGTCCTTAAAAAATAGATTTTGAAGCTACTGAAATGCACACTGAAATGTACACTGAAATGGGAGTTTCCAGCTGAAAAAGTCCTGAAGTCTCTTTTGATGACCACTGTGAGTGCCACTTTTTAACTTTAAACATTTGACATTAAAAAACAACCTGCAGTGGAGAAACTCTTCAAAGTCATCAGGAAACATGAAGGGGAGCTTGCTTGAGGTGGCACTGGAGGCAAAATAAGTTGTATTCTGTCTCAATTTGTGAGTAGAATATTCATTGCCAGATTTAATTGTTGAACTGAGTTCAAATTTTCCCATTTGACCTATGATTCTATAAATAATCTAAGAAAAATTATATTTTGCTCAGTGCCATGGAATTTGTGGGGTTTATATTCATATAACCCCAGATGAAAGACAAAGCACAAGTTTTTCAGATGACTTGTCAAACAAAGCAATAAAAAAATTATGCAGTGATACATTTTTTCCATTGTCCTCCCTAAATGAAAGAACAATCATTTACACTGTATGCAGCATTACAATTTATCATTTTTCTGTAACAACAAGTTAACATGCATGCATGATTAGTTGGTGTGTGACCACGAGTGAAGACGGGGTGGCAAGATGTAAGGAGCTGAAAATGGTTTATGAAGATTGCAAGTTGGTTGAAAGCTATTCCCTTCTATACCAAAATGTAAAAACAAATGGGCAGTAACACTTTCTGGCCAATAGCAAATTTCATGGTTTGTTATAGCTCCTGTTTTAGATCTAGAAGTACTCTTCAAAGACTATTATTAACTAGTATAATTATTATATCCACCAAAGACAATTTAAGAAGTAATATTCAGGTCATTTTTAGAATTGGTGTTAATGAACACATGTATTGATTACTGAATAGTGGTCATTAAAATGCAAATGTTTGATCTGAGATCAAAACTATTTTCAACTAAGATCAAACCCTAAGATTTTCATCCGAGTGTTCATTGGGTATCAAGGTTTATGCATGTGACCCAAACATGCTTCATTTATTGGCTGTTGCCCTCATGAATTATTAATGATTTTGAGAATGTGAAAGTGCAGTGTGATAATCCAGATGAGTGTAGTCCTGAAAAGGACTATTGGCGGTGACTGATGTTTTAACCTGTGCAGATGTCATCATCTGAGTCAAGTGAATAGTTCTTGTGATTAGAATGTTCTTTATCCAGTTCATGTAAAGTGACTGGTCAGTTTTGCCATGATGTTATTGGTTAGAAGACTCAAGTAGCATTAGATTTTGAGAATGTTGTGTTATATTCTAAACAAGGCTTTCATTTGGTATGACTGCTTTAAAATAGTTCTTGAAGACATGAATATGTAATAACAATATAAAACTCATATTGGGGATTTTTTTTGGGTTATGCAAGACTAATGGTTTTAGTCATCCAAGTTTGATACAGCAATTGTTAAAAAATGTGCTTCTTAAACCTATTGTTTGTAACCAAATAGTTAATAAATACTGACTTTAGGGACTCACTAATTACCCCATTGTCACACTAGAGAGCTGAAGTTTTTTTCTCACTTTGTACTCAAACTTGCCAAAAATGTAACACAGGGTATAATTTCAAGCCTGAACTAATTCTTAAAATCAAGATTCTAAAATCACTTGGGTGGGAAATTTTCCATTAACCCGATGGTCATAGTGTAATCTTTTCAAAAGGAAATATTGTTATGACCTTTAAAGTTTAGAATGTCCAGTAGTATTGCACATAAATGTAAATCATCCCAAATAATTTCAATGATAGAAACAAAATAATAATAGGAGCAAAAACCAATGGCAGAACTGATTAGTCATCAAGCTCATTTTCACTTTTTCATTCCACTGCATTGTTGTGATCTATAACATACCTATGTAACTATTAGGTGACCTTTAACAGAATTAGTCACCAAACCACATAGAATTTATCACATGTACAAAACAGAATACTTACATAACACATTGATGGCCTCAGTCTTAGAATCATTTCCGCATCTATTGCTTGCTACACACTTGTAGTCTCCAGCATCATTTCTGCTAATGTTGTTGAACTGCAATAAACTCCCTACAGTGAGCTTATCATTGCTAACTTTGATCCACGAAACATTTTGTGGGGGATCCCAAGATACGTTACAAGTCAAGTTGTATTGACGACCTTCAGTTGCAGTATTTGGAGAGCCCACTACACCATCCACAGATGGAGAATCTACAATCAAATCCATAAATGAGTTAAATAAGAAAAGTTAGTGATGTGACATGAGTATTCATAGATTTGAAACCATACATCTGGGATAATTGTTCAATTTTACCCACAGTTTACCCACATGGCCAATTTCCCACACTGGCCAGTTATTGCATATGGCAAAAAAAAAAAAAATTCATTCAACAGATTACCCACACCTGAATTGTATCCATTGTTTATTTGTTGTTAAAATACATCTTCAGTGTGAAGTTAGTCAAGTTTCACATCTTTAATTTTCAATATTGTGTGGTTCCAGAAAATATCCATACCCCCCCCCCCACGAAAGATCATTGGAAATCTGAGGGGGAGGGGGGTTCAAGGGCAGTAATTTCCGTGGGGTAGGGGGGTTTCGTGGGAAATTACTTTTCCAAAGGGTAACGAACCCCGTACAAAACATTTAAAGCAACATACGATTGATCTGAAGTGCAAAAACATACTCACGTACGTTGTTTTGAAACAAGTCAGTACTCTTGGCCATTGAGATAAGGCTAACATTATAAGCTTTTTAAATTAATGTTTCTGTTTTTCCTCTGAGTTAGCTAGTGCTAGAACCTCCCAAAGCTAGGAACGGATCGGCCGGCCGGAATCAAAACGATTTCAAATGGCCGTCTTGGAGTACTTTCGTTCACATTTCTTGCTTGACCTTCAGAAGGCCTGGATACCTAGCTACTGTGCATGCAGTAAATCATTCACGAAACCAAGTTAACATGACTTTGTGCGTGCTAGTGAATTTTTCGGTCTTTAAATAAGAATCAACCTGAAGAAAGTGACAAAATGTGTAGATAAAAGAACCTTGTAAGCTAGTTTCTGTTTTATTTACTATTGTTTGTAAAGTTCAGCTTAAGCAAGTGAAAAGTTCTCATCGGAGGTAGCACGAAAATGTAGGTGGAACAGTCGACGTTTTAAATCAGTTTAAATTTTGCAACCCAGATGTTTAAGCTTATAAATTATCTTACATAAAAACGACATGGATATGATTTGTCAAAATGATGGCAAAGAAGCTAAAAGTATAAGCTTAACAAAGCATTATATTTTTATTAAAGTTAACCTTAATGTTTTCAGTGTTGTACTAAAATTCTACCGCATTTACGTAACCATCCTTGGAGAACCAGGGGCTGTGAGTCGATTTCAAGATAAGGGCAGAAGAGCCCCTGGGGACATTGTCTTACAATACTAGTTCCAAACCCTGGCAGTCGTTCTGTCATCTGATTGGTGCCAGAAAATCTTTTGTGTTTTTCTGCCCAATCAGAGTGAAGTGTGCTTTAGAGTCTTTTCGTGTGTTTTAACACGCACATACAAGAAGCTCAGTTGCTTGCTTTGGTTATTTGGGCCCTGCGATGGAGCCTTGCTCGAGGTGAAAAGTGTCAGTCTCAGCACAAAATGTAAGAGATAATTATGGGTGTGGACAAAACCTGGCCTAGGCCATGGCCTACCCTGTGGCCTACCCTGTGGCCTACCCCGTGGCCTACCCCGTGGCCTACCCTGTGGCCTACCCCGTGGCCTACCCCGTGGCCTACCCCGTGGCCTACCCTGTGGCCTACTGGAGGTCAGATTTTTAAGAACATAAAAATAAAATAAGTAAGAGTCGAACGAATACGCTGGTGTACAATTATCTGTCTCTGAAAAGGGTATACTAATAGGTCGCTAACACGATTTTCAACGTTCGAGGGAAGAAACACTGCAAATATCATAGCACTCAACCATAATGGTAGGTTAAGGGGGAGGGGAGAGGAGGGGCCAATATTGCGTGATGTTACGGTAACTGATTACCGGCAGAAAGATAATAACCTCGCTATTTCCACGAAACACAATTTATTTAACTGTAAACAACGGGAGATAACTTATTACGAGCTAGCGACTACTCTTGGAACAATCCAACTAAAATTAACTATGTACTTCTCTACGCTTATCTGACCACAAGCAAAGTACTGTTCTTCTCTTTGGCGAAATCTCCTGAAGACTTCCTTTGCAGTATCACACTCCGGCCACAGTAAACAACTCTGGACTTGACAGCAGAATGTCAGTATCACATCCAAACGGGAAAACCCCTTCACTTGTCACACAATATCGCTTGTAGAACACAAACAGGGAACGAAGTCCCAAATCACAACAACAACCTGACTAGCGAGCTGCTTATATGAGCATCCGCAGAGAGTCTAGAAGTTTCCAAAAGTAATTATTTATACCCATTACAATAGTAACTATTTATAACTATTACAGTAAACTCTATTTTTAAACTGATGAGTCATAGTTCTAGAAAATTCTTGAAACAACATATTGCCTGACATTGACTTTCGCGAACTTTAGACAATCGATCCTTGTAACAGTGGTCGCAGAGGATATGCAAAATGGCGGCTTTACAATGCAGGCTGTCAGTTGGTAACTAGCGCAAACATGTAATGAACGGCGTTATATCGGAGAACATACCCAGGTAAGAAAACGCAAACATAACGTGCCAGGCCAATTTTTTAAGTGCCTCTTTAGTGCTGAAGAGTGTTGAATTTGCAACGAGTACCCCAGGACACGTACGCATCGCCGTTGTAAACATTATTTTTGCAAACTTTATTTGCTTTTCCAAAGAAAGGGCCAGTATTGCACTAGTTTGAAAGGAGAGCTGATATGATGATATTGGCCCAAAAGTTGCGTTTAACAGGCTTCTGTTCCTCGATTTCCTTATTCGATCAGAAGGTTAAGAAATTTTGATCGGAATGTGGCCGCCAAAACAGCAGAGGAAAGTCATTAGTAAGACTCAGGAAAACGTTGAAAGGGTTTCCAGCAATGCTATCCTTTTAAAAATCTGACCACTGGTAGGCCATAGGGTAGGCCACAGGGTAGGCCATGGCCTAAGCCATGTTTTGTCCACACCCAAGAGAAATCGATCAGATTGTCCGCAAAAATCTCACCAGAAATTATACTGAATACTTTCACAGGTATCACAAGAGAACGTGTATAAAAGTTTGTGAGGTTCGTATAAAACAGGATGGTTGCAGATGTTGATATGTCGCTACGTTAAACAAGATGTAAGCTTAAATCTTTCTAGATTTTTTGTACAATTTGCTGTGACTGAAACTTTGCCAATCTTGTGAAGTTATTTCATCGCATGGGCCACGCAGATGTGTCGAGCAACTGGCGCTTATGCTTACGTAGCTTTCTGTGTGCACCAAAATCTAATCTTTGCTTTGTAGTAAAGTCTTTCACAATATGGCCAAAGTTGCAAAGAACGTTAAGTTCGTGGATGATCTCCAGCAAGCGCTTACAGAAAGCTTAGCCGTGTTTCCAGTTAGCTCATTGAAATCTGAACAATAACTAATTATTGAGAACATCGTGGGAAGGAGAGATGTTTTCAAACAGTTACCGAAGGGGTTTGGAAGAGTTTAATCTTTCAACTGCTGCCTAGAGTGTTCAAATCCTTGAGCTTGAAAGACCACGCATTCTCTTCTACTTCCTTGGTCATTGTCATTTCACTTCATTTGTCAATAGGTGGTTTGCAAACAATCTCTCAAGACACTTGTAACAATGGTGAAAGGAACAAATGCTAGTGGACAAATAAAAGAAGCTAATGAGATATTTATTGTTTACGTCCACCAACATGGTGGCAATGATGTAACATGCAAACCACCTATTGTTGAAGACCAAGTTAAATACCTTTGATCCTTGGGAATCGATGATGCTTTCATTTGTGAAAACAAAACCAAAGACAAGGAAATATTGGATGAAAAGGGCGGGTGTGCTTTATTGTAAATGTCAGCTTAGTACAGGGTTATCTACCAACATCTAATAAACAAAAGTTTCCACGCTTAGATTTTGATTAGATTAGATTTTGGCGTGCACAGAAAGCTGCGTAAGTGCCAGTTGCTCGACATACCTGCGTGGCCCTTATGACGAAATAGCTTCACGAGATTGGAAAAGTTTCAGTTATAGCAAATTGTACAAAAAATGTACACTGGCAGAAAGATTTAAGCCTACATCTCATGTAACGTTTAAAGCGACATATCAATGCTTGCAACCATTATGTTTTAAATGAACCTAGCAAACTTTTAAACGTGTTCTCTTGTGATACCTGTGAAAGTATTCCGTATAATTACCGGTACAATTTTCGCGGACAATCTGATCGATTTCTCTCTTACATTGTGTGCTGAGATTGAAACTTTTCACCACGGGCAAAGCTTCGTCGCACAGCTTAAACAAACATAGAGAGCAACAGAGCTTCTTGTATAATTATGTCCGTATTAAAACCCACGAAAGGACTCTAAAGCACACTTCACTCTGATTGGGCAGAAAAACACAAAGATTTTGTGGCACCAATCAGATACCAGAACGACTGTGACCATTTGGAACTACTTATTATTTCTCTTGTACACCGATTCGTTTTGGCTGCTCAGTGTCTTCGTTGGAAGTGATAACAAGCAATGTACATGTAAACTCCACTCGGAGATTAGGCCGCCATCTTGGTTGTCGACTTCGTGGAATGAGTTACCTCGGCGCCAGAGTGAACTATCATCACAATTCAACTTCCAGTTTTCAGCTGATTCCACTGATCAAATCTGGTGATGTAAGTTTAAATCCTGGCCCCTCTGTTATTCAAACTGTAATCGGAAATCGACACTCGACAAACGGCGACTTTGCTTATGCTGCTGGCAATCGTGCACCGCCGTGTCAGCGTAACTTGGTCAACATTATCGCGGCCAAGCATCAACAAGTATTGGAAAATATCAAGAACGATACGCAACAATTGTTGCTTTGCGTTCTCAATGCTCGATCTTTGAGAAATAAGTCAGCGCCGTTTGTGGATTTGGTATGCGATAGCAAAGCTGATCTATTTGCTGTTTCTGAAACCTGGCTTACAGACAATGATACAGCTATTCTTAGTGAAATAACACCACAGGGATACAAACTCCTTCATTGTCCCCGCAGTGATCGCAGAGGAGGTGGGACTGCATTGATTTTCAAAGAATCCATCAACGTTGGAAAAGTTTCGGTTGCAGGAAAAGGGTCATTCGAGGTGTCGGAATGGTTGGTCAATCCTGCGGCTACTACTCGTTTGCGGGTTGTTATAGTCTATAGGCCTCCATATTCTGTTAAACATCCTGTGTCTACTTCAACATTTATCACTGAATTCTCAGATTATCTCGAGTCTTTGGTCATGGCAAGTGAGCCCTTGTTGATACTGGGCGATTTTAACATTCATATGGACCTACCTGATGACACTGACTGTAGAAACATGTCTGACCTTCTGGTGTCGATGGGTCTTAAACAACATGTTGTACACCCTACCCATGAACTTGGTCACACACTGGATTTGATCATCACTCGTATATCTGATAACATCATTGCTGGGCGCCCCTACACTGGTGAGTTGTTTTCTGACCATTTCCCAGTCTTCTGTCAACTAAAACCTGAAAGATCTCTAGTGGCTGTNAGGCGCAGTTGAATATTTTTATAGAAACTGCGCGGTATAAATTTAAATTTAATAATTTAATAACTAGTCTTGTAAGACAATGTCCCCAGGGGCTCTTCTGCCCTTAACTTGAAGTCAACTCACAGTCCCTGGGTCTCCAAGGATGTTACGTAACCAACTTAGTATTCACTTTCTCTTTTTATAAGTACAAAAACCACTTTGAATTTGCGAGGGTGATAAGAAGTCCCCGATTAAAATGATAGAAATTCCTGGGGGGAGGGGGGTCATCTAGGACCGTCTGGAACGGAAAATCCTGGGGGGTGGGGGGTGCGAATCAAAAAGTCTTCTGTGGGGGGGGTATGGATACTTTCTGGAACCACACATTCCACCTTCCAGTTTTTGAATGTCTTTTTTGGAACACATTCAATATAATTATTCTAAAGGCAGTCATCAACAAAAGTGTTTTCTGCTAATATTTTGTCTCCTTTTTGGTTGTTGAGCGACTTTTGTAACAAGTTCTGACAATTCAATCAAAAACATGATCAGTTCACAGTGTGCCATGTTGAATGGACAGAAGAGAAAGACTGGTGACAAATCTGCCTTCAATTTGATTACCACTGAACTATCTTCTGCCTACTCAATATATACACACCTAGTTCTGAAATCAATGAAATCCCTGACTTAGAATTCTTTGTTGTCAGGTTCTGTGCAAGGATTGTAAAATACGACCGGGAATTTTCAGGTTGTATGCAAGGAATGTAAAATATGACAAGGAATGTCAAAATTGCCTATACTCTGTCCAAGGAAAAAAGCCTCACATTGGAAATGCGTGATAGCAAGTCAATGTGAGAGCTTTTAAGGGATTTGGGGGGACACCTAAGTTGTCCATCTTGGAAAAATGTAAGGTATTAGATTAGAATTAAAACCAAGAGAGTCACAAAAAAACAATAAAAAGAAACAAAAGATGGCTGATGATAAAAAATGTAACTTGAAATGGAGCACTTCATGGAAAACTAGTGATCTGAAAAATTAAGAGGTTGTTCAGAAAGTTACCAGCATCTGGTAAAGAGGCCAAATGTTAAACCCTTTCCTCTGACAAGAAAGTATCTAACTTTCCTAGCCTCAACTAGATATAAGAACCAGTGCTTTTTTTTTGCTTTTGGAACTCTTTCAATTTTCATTTCTTTTGTGTTAGAATTTAAAATTCTTCTCACATGTGGTTGGTCTACATGTCATTTCTTCTCCTTAAAGCATTCTCCTCTATAAAGGATCCACCTACAATCAACTCAGTAACTAAATACATTACTATGATTTCCAACCAATGACCTCTGGGTAATCTGTAAAAATTTCGGTGACAAACCATCGCTGCTGGTAACAGGGGGGGTGGGTTAATTTCACATTGCCACATAATGATAGTAACTGTTACATCTGACAGTGAAATTTTTTCGTTACAAATGTAAACAAAATCTTCAACTGAGAGTGAAAAAAATAATCCAAAGATGGCTGGTGCATTGGCGAAAACTTAAAGATTCTATAGTTTAAACTTGCTTGAACACAACAGTATTTTCCCATTCAAAGTGACTGTTTAGGCCAGAAAGAGCCCAGGATATTGACATTTTTTTGAGGGAAAATGCTAACAGCTATTTAAAAACACTCGACTCACATGTCTTATTCTCCAGAGTATAAAACTTTGATAACTGGCATATTGACCACTTCAAATTGGAAACAAACACGTCCTGAATTATTAATTTTTGGTTAAATAAGAGAATCACCTGTTTTCTCGTGTGCCTGATGACCTTGCATACATGTACATGATCAAACCAGCTTCTGAGGACAAAAAACCTACTAGAACTTCCTTTCATGTTTCTCTTTTATTCTCAAGAACCCAATGATTTAAATCACTGAATTGGTGCAGTTAATCTGCTGTGCAAGCTATCGGGTATGTAGGTAAATGGCTGGAAATACAGTGGAGTTACATTAACAAAATCAAAGATGAGGTTGACTTACATCTCACTATCACCTCCACTGTCTGATTCACTGGATCTCCCACTCCATTGAAAGCTGTACAGCAGTATGTTCCATTGGAGCTTCTGCCAATATCATATATGGGATGGTACCCATCTACAGATGGTAATTCTCCACTGTCAGTACCATTTTCCCACTTTCGTGTCCAGGTGATATTTGGTGCTGGTTTACCAGTTGCATTGCAACTCAAGGCAACCATAGAACCTTCACAAACATCTTGGTTCTTGCTAACATTCACAATTTCAGAGGGTTCTGTAAAATAATCAGGTGATTAGCTTTCACAAAATGAGAGGAAATGAGTTACTGTAAATTGTGAAACAGAATGAAACAAGGAATATCTGCAATTTGAGAAATAGAAATCTGTCAGAGATCTTAACGAGAAATCTGTAATTTGTAGACTGAGGTAGTTACTAAAACATGGAACCACCGAAAACCACCCACAACCCAAAACCACCTGGAACAAAAAAGGTCACACAAGCAAGCAAGCAAAGGCCTGGGCAAGTAGGCTTAGCTACTGAGCTGAGCCTGGTTTCTAAGCAAAAAAAAAAAAAAAAA